GCTTTTTTCAGGCTTCTTCTTTCCAATTGCTTAAATTGGAAAATTTACTGCGATGATCATCCATCACTTACTTACGTATAGGGAGGGAGGAAGCAAGTTAACCCAAGCATTTGAATTATATTCTAGAAATAGTGTGATCTCTATAGGTAAATCAAATGATTTCGAGTACAATTTGGAATAAATAAGCACAAGTTATCTTTTCAAAGACAATTCTTGAATTTGAGCCCGTAGGTTGAGTGGAATTTGTAGTCTTTGAAAATTTTAAGAGCTTATTTATTCCAAATTGCACGAGAAAAACAATACGATTATTTGTTGACAATATGATAATAAATCAGTTACGACTATCTGCGCTGTCTGGGATTGATTGGCGTGCTCTTAGCCAATCAGCATATGCTGACATTTTTGCATGTGTATTATTAACATTGTAATGTACACACAGTTTTTGAAGTTCGTATTGACAAAAATGTAATTTATCCTTAGGAATTCCAAATCATCAGCGTTAACATGTAAATTATCCCGAATAGTATATAAGAAATGTGCGGACATAAATAAGGAGATTTTGTTTGTAGAAACTAAGCCTTACAGGCTTACAGGCCGGGCAAAGTTATTACATCACCAAATTCTCCCAACAAGAACTGTAGGAAATATATAGAGACCAATAACAATAATTAATAGGTGGACATAAGGGCTGCCTTGTACTTAAAAGAAATGAGTTGAGAACTATTAGAAACGTTTGCACGTACAAGTGAAGGTTTGCTTATTCACTGGCTTGTTTCCTTTTAATCTGCAGCTTTTGGAACTACGTTGTTCGCTTTTGGTTGTTTGATAAACTAAACAACATGTTGCAACCGGTTTATCGTGATATAAACCGCACGGTCAATATAATACAATGAGAATATTATGTTGTGATCAACTGTTCACAATATGACTGTCTGACTGAATGACTGACTGTATTTTGTCGGTTAATGTGTATGTTTTTTGTTGCATTCGATACGTTCGTCGGAGGATCTTTTCCGAATTACCCTCAGTTCCATTTAAGCGTATTTGAGAGTAAAATACAGCTTTTAGCGACGATTAAGCAAACGAAAGTGCCACTGTTGCGCGCTCACAAGAAGTAGAACAATATTTTTCAAAGCTTTTTTGACATTCCAACCTACAATAAAAATAGGAAAAAATCAAATCAAGAATTGATGTTCGCTGAAATTAGAAAACGATTATTAATGTTCGCTCTCCTTTATCATTTGGGTTAATTAATAAATCGCTTAAAAGCTGATTAAACTTTGAAAGAAAATAAATTGTTGTTTTTAAAATAATAACAATTAGCCGACAATTCAGCAATATAAGTTATACTCAGTACGCACTTACGATTTTCTTCATCTCTCAACTTTAGATATTTCTAAAATTAAATTTTGAGACCGATCTTTTCTACATTTGTTAAGCCATCCACGAAGTGTGGTTATATACTTTAATCCTTAAGCTGAGTGTGAAAAATGGAATGTAACAGGTTTCATCGCACGCGGAAATTGTAATCGGGGAGGGGGAGCTAAGGTGACTCCCATACAAAAAGGACGGGGGTGGTCTTCTTGGAAAGAACCCTTAAGAGGTACCAAGATCTAGTTTGGTGGGTGTGGCCTGCAATTGTGCCTGGGTGCCAATTCTTAAACAACACACTAACTGACACTGACGTTTTTCGGCTCAATACCCTAAAAGGTATCGCACAAGCTCCCCCTGTGGACCTTTTAATGCGCAACGCTCTACGAGGTACCAAACCTTCCTTTTTAACCGCTAAAAGGTAAGAAGGGCACCCCTGTCCTTTTAATATGGGATTCCCCCCCTCCCCTCCCACCAAGAAAAGGTGATACAATATCTTACCAATGGCCATTAGTGGATCATTCTTCTAAAAGGAAGTGAATAATATGGAAATAATGGCATCCTATAGGATCAATATCCTCGACGGATATTACTAAGGACGGCTGGTAACTGCAGTTGTCGTGTTTTGGGTTTCCCCTGCCTTCGCGGAAACCCTTTACTTGGCTTTAGAGAGGGATCAATTTAACATTACGCTGACACGCAAAGTTGAAAACTCTATCTTGTAAGAGGTGAACTGCTACACTGTAGAAGTGGAGACGGAGTAGGACAAGATTCGTTTAATTGCCGTGCTTGACGGAATCATATTTCTTTACAACCAACAATTTCGAAAACAAAACTGACCCAAAGTGATGGCTGGATTGTCGACAGCCCTGATTTTCTTCACGATGGCAATCACAGACTATAGCATGGCCGAGTTCATTACAATTGAGCGTGATAGTAGCTTGGCACATGTTGATTTTCTCTTACCAGATTCTCATTGCCCTGGGAACCAGCCACAATGCGGCAATTTCAAAGGTACTTCGCTTTCAGTATGCTGGTGTTATTGCGGCATCCTACAAGGCCAAAATACAACTTTTTACGAGTCAAGTTATGGCTGCCTTCCAGTCAGCGATGTTCGACAGCAAGCAGGTATGACCGTCAGTCGGTTGCTCAAATAATAGTTTGTTAAATAAAGTTTGACCATGCAGTTTGGATCGACTCAAATTGCAATTTTGGAGTGACGTTCAACCTGGGCCTTGGTCTGCAAGTATGCCGATAGAGCAGGAACGCCCGACTCCATTCTAAATAGCTGTACCATTCCTTTTCAATCCTTTGATGCTTAGGTTGGCTGGTGTTTTAGATCAAATATCAAGAACGTTCGCTGCTTTGTATTGAATAAAGCTGTGAGTAATATCATTTGCTCTCAGTATTCCTTTATCGAATAATGATATCTTGTTTACCCTTTTCAAACGAACCAAACATGTTAAATTAAGCTTGGTAGAAAAACAGTGAAACACAACTCCCATATCAAATTCGTAACGGCCACAAGGAGAAACAAAAGAAATGAGAGAAATCAGGACAGATCTAGAAGTCGAGCCCACCTCTTTCAGTTAGTTAATATTAATTCATATCTTATATTCTTCTTCTATACTGGGCACTGTTTTCATAATTACCGAAACTCTCGTTTTGTTCTGTACAAAAACTTGCTTGTAAAAGAGAAAGGCTCTCACGCTACGCATCATGCGCAAAATTGCAGCGAAACATCGACAGAACTGCATCGACGTTTTTTGAACGTGTCCTTTTTTTGCAAGTTCAAACTCAGAGGCGAGCTGTTACTTTTCATCGATACATTCCATATTTTTTCGTAGGCTGCCAGATGCTCTTTACAGGCGAGTCAGTGGACCAACGTTTGGTGTTTTTTCCATCTGATTCTGTTCTGGAACAAACTGTAGACGTACCTGCCAACCAGAGGTGTACTTTCTATTATGGAAATCGATTCTATGTGCAATATCTGGATTGTACTGGTTCCTGGAGATCAATAGAATCGCGAAATGTGCTTGACAATATAGACCTGACACCTGGTTGGTCCTCAAGTCAGCTGAAGATTAGGGTAAGATAGTTACTTACAGTGATTGTCTGGACGGGGTTACTGGTGGATGAGATTTAGTCAAAAAACTGTTACTGCTGAGAAATAATGCATTTTTAAAATAAACATTTACTGATAGCTGAGACGTGGGCTGTAATTTTGACCGAGACCCACGCTAGTCTGCTATCTAGTAAGTTAAAACTGGTCTACATGTTGATTGAACCATTTTGATTTAAGATAAGGTCACTAGCTGGAGCAATCATTGGGTTTTGGATCAGGTCTGACGTTTAAGGGAATGCGCAAAAATGGCATCTATCCTTTAGTCTTACTTGGGGATTAAGGTTTCAGCAAGAAAAGACCCCAGCGACGCTGCAAGAGAAGGTTTGTTTTGTACACCAGAGGGGAAAGACAACGGGGGAGCCCAAAAACAACCTGGAGGAGGTCAGCAGAGAAAGAACTTAAATCCAGTCACCTGACCTGGGCGAAATCCGTAAGGTGGCTCAAGATACTTCATGCTGGTGAAGGCCTTATGCGTCCCACGGCGCATTAAGACCAGATGATGAAAGTGCCCAGAACTGCCCCAAAATATAAGCCATAAGTATAGACAATAGATAAAGTAATACGTTTTTGCATTTAGGTCCTTTTCACCATCCGCAAGTGAGAAGAAATAGGCTGTTTCCTTTCAATTTCAAAATCAGTGTACTTTATCAATTTTCGTGATAGTAATTCAGTGCTAAAAAGGGACTTAGTCACAAAGGAATAACTGTCTCACCCTGTTGTATATTTTTTCTTTCAGATCAAAGCTGGTACAACACTATTCCAGTTCGTCACTGCTGGCCGTCTCGTTAGAGTTGCAATACAATGTCGAACTGACTCTTCTAACGTTCAGTTGACAAGCTCATGTGTTGTGTTCCAGGTCCATGGGAAAATTGACTGTAAGCATACATGAAATAATAAGAAAGGTTGTGAATGTTCTGCCACTTGAAACACCAAGATGATTGAGTGGCTATATACTAAAACTTCATATATATTCAAATTCAGGGAATTATGCGAGTCATGACATAAACCGGCTTGTGCAGCTGTGGTTTCCTGTCTTACGGAAATGGGTAAAAGCATTGTATGCGTTCCTTTCGATTTAGGTAAAACCCTTGGGGGAGGGGGGTGCGCAACCAAATAAACTGGATTGGGGTGCTTGCCGGCAATTTGCCAAAGAACCCCTACGAGGTACTTTTCACCCTTAAATAGTACTGGTATTTAAACAACACATTAACTGACAAAAACGTTTTTCGACTCAATACCCTAAAAGGTACCGCGGAAGTTCCTACTGTGGGACCTTTTGAGGTTGAACACCCTAACAGGTACCAAAACAGCATCCCCGTCCATTTTATATGGAAGTCCCCACCGGGGGTAAAGTTTATCTGGAAACGAGAATCGATAAACGATAAAGACGACAACTTCTAAAATAGTGATCTTTTATACCATGTCGTAATTTTGAATTTAAGAGGTTTCTGTCGTTATTCCACGGTCTTCTTACATTTATTTCTAGGCCCGTACCCTAGGCCGACCCTATCACCAGCATTAACCGCGGCGACCTTGCCAACACCGGTAACAGAAAGATTAGATGCAACTGGAACTCTTCCGCCGGTGACCGCGCCAGCAAATAAAACAACGACGATCCCGTCTTTGGAAGAAGCAACAACAGTGGTATGGGGCTTACTTTTTTTAACCTTTGAACAAAATTTACTCGACCAACTAGTCAGTCACATGCAATGTGATAAAATTAACAGTTAACCCCACTCGCAGATGAGGATGTGCGACCAAAAAGGGAAGAAACAGGCTGGGCGCTTGAAACCTTAAAGCCTTTTTGTGTTAGAAACGAAAGGTTCACGGAGTGTAAGGTAGAGCTTTTCCTTTGTCTCAGTTTTGAGGCCATGCCTGCTATTTGTTAGACCTGGTAGCGAACTATGCTTATCCTTTCTTAGGGAGAGGCAACCCAAGCTCCAAATAAAGGCAGAACGAATCCAGTTTACTGAAAGATCGATTCAATAGAATGGGATTACTTGACATGTTTTAGCCAATCAGAATACAGAAATTGTTGCTTATATATTATTATACGCAATACGAACTGGAATTTTTCTATTGTTTTTGTTTCGTTTTTTTACAGCAGCCTTCTGAAGGAACGACCATTAGTGGAACCGGTGACGGTGAGGGCACAGAGACGGGGAAAAGAAAAGAGAAACACATTCTAAAAACAGAAGGGAAATTCCAAAATACAATTTGTGAATCAAATTTGGCAATTTGGCCTTTACTCCTTTGGTAATTAGTTAGGTGCGACTTTCAAGTAAACGGCATAAATGTTGCCAAACGAAGGCCATGCGTCAACTGTCAAAAAAGAACAAATCTCTAACAAATAAGGTTGCTAGGGGCAAAGCTTTAAGAGCAATTATGGCATCGATAATAAGTTGTAAGAATTGATCAAAACCCAGTTTTCCTACCATGGTGATATCAAAACTGAAGGCAAGAACTCGTGATCAAAGTTAATTATTTGCCAAAACGATATTTGTTCTATCTATCTTTTTTCAGATAACCAAGAACCATAAATGTTGGTATATTGGTCAAGTTCTGAATTGAAAGAATTTGCTAAATTATGGATCATCACAAGCGATGTTTCGAATCACTCTCAATCATCAATTGGTCTCATGAACATAAAAGTACACGGAAATTTCCATGTACCTTGTGCGTAAAAAATAATAATAGGAACATGAAACTTTCCGTGTACCTTATGACTATTAAAAAAAATGTTCATGTTCCGTATTATTACATGTAAGAAAAGGTACATGGAAATTCATGTATGCCGTATGACTACAAACAAGAAGAGGTACATGGAAATTCCCATGTACCTTGTGACTATTACAAGATTAAGTAAAGTACATGGAAATTTCCATGTACCGTGTGACCACTGGAAGCAAGGTCAATGGAAATTTCCATGTACCTTGTGACTACATACAAGGAAAGGTTCACTGAAATTCATTTCGTTCGGAGTAACGTCAAAAGTAACCACTGCACTTGAGCGACCTCGTGACTAGAGCGCAGGAAGTATTAGTGCATAGGATCGCATACATGAAGCACAGTAAGTGGACGTGAGCTGAACGGGTAGTCTGATTAGCTGTCAGCAAGCAGGTCTTTATAAGCGTTAGGCATTACTTGGTGAAAGTACCAACAAGTAAATTCTATTAAAAATCAGTGCGGACGCCACCGGCGAACACTGCTGTCTATCACACAGAATCTGCAGGTAAACTTTTGCGTTGCCAAGTTTTAACTAAATGAGCAGAATATACAAAACAGTTGCAGGCCATGAACGTGTCAAGTAGCTGTGTTTATTAGTATCCAAAAGCGCGCCATTCTGATTTTCCAAAAGCACGTGTGGCATTGTAGATCCAATCATTCCTTTAGAAAGTTAAGAAAATATTAAATTTGTTTGTGATGATAGAGTTTTCCGTTCGATTATAGTTAAAGAAGGTAATGGCCTCATCTGCACTCTGAATGAGCAGTTTACAAATACTATTTTAGTCGTTGAAAGCTGAAATCTAGGCGTTGCAGCCGGCGTTTAGGTTGCAACACAAGCAAAAGAAGCTGCCCGCGGGGGCTTAAGAGAGGATGTTTTCTCTGTCCCTGTTCCTCACAAAAACTCTTCGTAGCGTTTACTTAATAAGAGATTTCCGTTCATTTTTAAAAATGTAATCACATGTTGTTTCTTTTCTCATTTCCAGGTCAATGCTTCTTCCAAAGAGAGCTGTCTGACTTGCTAAGCCAGGGTTTTGTGTATCAATAAATAAATGGACAGATTTCATATATATTGAAAAAAATTTACCCCATCCCACTAACTAAATCGCGTTAACGGGCCATCTGATGCGTTCATATAACAGTGGACGTTTTAATAGCTGTATTGCAGTATCGTCAAAGGACTGTGTAGAAATTTCCATGTACACTTTCTGTGTCATCTGAAGGTACATGGAAATCTCTATGTGCTTTAATTGTGTTGTACACATGAGTGGTGCATGAAGGTGCATGGAATTTCCATGTACCTTTACACATGTGGTACATGAATGCACATGGGAATGGTACATGGAAATTTCCATGTACCTTTACATGTGTGCTGCATGAATACACATGGAAAAGGTACATGGAAATTGCTTTGTACCTTTACACGTGTCGTGCATGAATGTGCATGGAAATTTGCATGTACCTTAACATGTGTGGTGCATGAATGTGCATGGGAAAGGTGCATGGAAATTTGGAAGTACCTTAACATGTGTGGTGCATGAATGTGCATGGGAAAGGTGCATGGAAATTTGGAAGTACCTTAACATGTGTGGTGCATGAATGTACGTGGGAAAGGTACATGGAAATTTACATGTACCTTTCCACGTGTGGGGCAAGAATGTACATGGAAATTTCTATATACTTTAACACGTGTGGTTCATGAAGGTACATGGAAAGGTACATAGAAATTTCCATGTATCTTTACATGCGTTGTGCATGAAGGTACATGGGAAAGGTATTTCGAAATGTCCATGTACTTTGATTATCGCTTATGTGGCCTAGAAATCCATCGAAATAATGAAAAAGTTTGGTTTGCTTTTCAACTGCATTACCTTTAGAAGAAATAATTTAAATTTAATTTATTCTTTAGAATCTTTACAGCCAGCACCTTCATGGGTTTTAGACTAAACTTCGTAAGAATTTCACTGAAGTAGCTGATTGTTGCCAAAATATCGGCATTTTAGAATATCTGGTTTCTTTTTAGAACGTGTTGAAAGTCAGAAGAACAAATGCATTCATTTTTACCGGATCAGTGGATGGAGGCAACAGTTGATCCCCTTGATACTGCTCATCTTATGGCGCTCAAACAGTCCTACTGAGTAAGTCTTACTGCAATGTATATACTAAATTAATCTTAACAGTTCAAGGTTCACTGATGAAGGACCACAAGTGCACAGTAATGAATGTGAACCCGTGTTTTTAAATAACGATGCAAGATGATGATGATTTTGATGATAATGGTGACGACGATGACGATCATTACCTTTTATGCACCAAAAGGAGAACTAAAACACACGGAAATACTGCTCTGCTCAATGGATTTCATTTGAATGGTCACTCGCCGGGTTTAAGTCACAAACGTTAACGTAAAAGTTAAAGTCACCTTGTACAGGATAACTAACAGTACCACATGAAATAGCTTTCATTTGAATGGTTACTAACTAGGGTTTAATTTCATTCACAGACTTCGGACATAATCGACTACGGTGTAGGTCCAACATTGTTTTGCACTGATGTACTATCGAATGAATTCTGAGAACTGACACAAAAAGTAAGGAAAATTGTTGTTTCAATCTAGAACATTGACAAGATTTAAGTGTTCATATATCTACGTTTGCAATTTTATTGTTACTTTTAATTTATCACAATTTCGCAACTCCGGGAAACGCGTACGTGGTAGTACGTCTTGTGGTAATACCTCTCCTCAAAAGAAGCTCTAAGCTACAAGAAACTTATGGTAATACCAAAAAAAACAACAACAAAAAAAACAACTATATTTCACATACTTCCCCCTGAATCACATCGACAGCTCAGCTCTAACTCTGTGTCCGGTTCAGCTGAACTTTACTGCTCAAGTGGTAAGACTTAAAATTGATTTACTTTTATTTCTTAATCAACTACTCTTTCATTCTTCTCATTCAAGCTTTACTTTATTCCTACAAACATTTTTTTTTTCATTTATCCATTTATTTGTTCACATACAGAATAACATACAAAAAAGCTACATAATTACTTACATTAAAATACCTAAAACAGGTTTAACAACAAACGATAAAACTAGTGGTAACAAGAAATAAATAAAAATAAATAAATAAAAGGCGAATCCTCTGCCCGGTTTTTAGTTTTTTAAATATTAATTATTATCCAATAACTACGTACTTGATATAGTAATTTTATTAACAACAATTACTAATAATTGATAATTAATCATAGATACAGTTAAGAAATAAGCAGTGCAGAAAAATTTCCGAGATAAGTAATTTAAATTAAAAATGTTGGTGGTATGTCT